GGGTGCTGTATTAGTGAAGGAGGAGGTTTTATTGAGGAAGGGGGTGCTGTATTAGTGAAGGAGGAGGTTTTGTTGAGGAAGGGGGTGCTGTATTAGCGAAGGAGGAGGTTTTGTTGAGGAAGGGGGTGCTGTATTAGCGAAGGAGGAGGGTTTGTTGATGAAGGGGTGCTGTATTAGTAAAGGAGGAGGTTTTGTTGAGGAAGGGGGTGCTGTATTATTGAAGGAGGAGGGTTTGTTGAGGAATGGGGTGCTGTATTAGTGAAGGAGGAGGTTTTGTTGAGGAATGGGGTGCTGTATTAGTGAAGGAGGAGGTTTTATTGAGGAAGGGGGTGCTGTATTAGTGAAGGAGGAGGTTTTGTTGATGAAGGGGGTGCTGTATTAGTGAAGGAGGAGGTTTTATTATTATTATTATTATTATTGGAGGAGGTATTATTATTATTATTATTATTATTGGAGGAGGTATTATTATTATTATTATTATTGGAGGAGGTATTATTATTATTGGAGGAGGTATTATTATTATTATTATTATTGGAGGAGGTATTATTATTATTGGAGGAGGTATTATTATTATTATTATTATTATTGGAGGAGGTATTATTATTATTATTATTATTATTATTGGAGGAGGTACTCTGTGTGTAGAAGGAGGGTATTCTCAGTGAAGGAGGAGGATTTATTTATTTATTTATTCTCTCTCAGTCTGTGGTTGGCTCTCTCAGTCTCCCAGTCGGTTGACGTCACTGCCGATGGCCCCTCCCCTTCCCTCCCTCTCTCAGCCTGTGGTTGGCTCTGTCAGGCGCCCAGTCGGGTGACGTCACTGACGATGACGAGGCCCCTCCCCCTCCCTCCCTGTCTCAGTCTGTGGTTGGCTCTCTCAGTCTCCCACTCCGGTGACGTCACGGCCGATGGCGAGGCCCCGCCCCCTCTCTCTCAGTCACTCTGTGGTTGGCTCCCAGTCGGGTGACGTCACTGCCGATGGCGGGGCCCTGTCCCTGAAGCTCAGCTCAGCCCAGGCCGGGGACTCAGCGCAGTGCTGCAGCCGCTGCCATGGAGCTGGAGGACGGCATGGTGTACCAGGAGGAGCCGGGCAGCTCGGCGGTCATGTCGGAGCGGGTGTCGGGCCTGGCCGGCTCCATTTACCGCGAGTTCGAGCGTCTGATCGCGCAGTATGACGAGGAGGTGGTGAAGGAGCTGATGCCGCTGGTGGTGGCCGTGCTGGAGAACCTGGACTCCGTGTTCGCAGACAACCAGGAGCACGAGGTGGAGCTGGAGCTGCTCAAAGAGGACAACGAGCAGCTCATCACCCAGTACGAGAGGGAGAAGGCCCTGCGCAAACACGCCGAGGAGGTGGGTAGGGGGCTCTCACCGGGGAAAGGGGGAGGGAACCACATAGTGACAGGGGACACCCCCCTCCCTCCAATACAGTGTACCCCCTTATTATACTGAGTACCCCCCACTAACCAGGGAGGGCACATAGTGACAGGGGACACCCCCCCTCCCTCCAATACAGTGTACCCCCTTATTATACTGAGTACCCCCCACTAACCAGGGAGGGCACATAGTGACAGGGGACACCCCCCCCTCCCTCCAATACAGTGTACCCCCCATTATACTGAGTACCCCCCACTAACCTGGGAGGGCACATAGTGACAGGGGACACCCCCCTCCCTCCAATACAGTGTACCCCCTTATTATACTGAGTACCCCCCACTAACCAGGGAGGGCACATAGTGACAGGGGACACCCCCCCTCCCTCCAATACTGAGTACCCCAAACTAACCCAGGGAGGGGGGGCACATACTGACAGGGGACACCCCCCACCCTCCAATACTGAGTACCCCCTCACATACCGAGAGTACCCCCCACCTTCAACCCAGGAGGGGGGGCACACAGCACAGGACACCTCCAATACAGTGTACCCCCTCATTATACTGAGCACCCCCACTAACCCAGGAGGGGGCACATAGTGACAGGGAACACCTCCCCTCCACCACTGAGTACCCCCCACTAACCAGGAGAGGTGGGGCCACATAGTGACAGGGGACACCCCCCTCCCTCCAATACAGTGTACCCCCTTATTATACTGAGTACCCCCCACTAACCAGGGAGGGCACATAGTGACAGGGGACACCCCCCCTCCCTCCAATACAGTGTACCCCCTTATTATACTGAGTACCCCCCACTAACCAGGGAGGGCACATAGTGACAGGGGACACCCCCCCCTCCCTCCAATACAGTGTACCCCCCATTATACTGAGTACCCCCCACTAACCTGGGAGGGCACATAGTGACAGGGGACACCCCCCTCCCTCCAATACAGTGTACCCCCTTATTATACTGAGTACCCCCCACTAACCAGGGAGGGCACATAGTGACAGGGGACACCCCCCCCTCCAATATAGTGTACCCCCCCACTAACCAGGGAGAACTCCCCCCTCCAATACAGTGTACCCCCCACTAACCCAGGAGGGGGGCACATACTGACAGGGGACCCCCTAATATATATATATATATAGTGTATCCCCTCATCACCCCTATTACACTGACTACTCCCAACTAACCTGGGAGGAGGGGGGCACGTACGGACAGGGAACCCCCTCATTATAACCCCCCTATTATACTGACTACTCCCCTACTAACCTGGGAGGGGCACATACTGAGCGAAACCCCCTAATATATAGCATAAAAACCCCCATTATACTGAGGACCCCCACTAACCTGGGAGGGGGGTCACGTACTGACAGGGGACTTCCTATGTAGTGTACCCCTAACAATAACTCCCATTATATAGAGTACCTCCACTAGCCTGGGAGGGGGGCACACATACTGACCGGGGACCCCCTCCTAATCCCCCACTATCCTGGGAGGGGTGACACATACTGACAGGGGACCTCCTGCTATATAGTATACCCCCCAATAATAACCCCCATTGTACCGTGTACCCCAAACTAACCCCCATTATAATGAGTACTCTAAACTAACCCCCTTATTGCACTGAGTGCCCCTACTAACTCTTATATGTACTATGGGGGACTTTCATATGCTAAATTTCCCCTTACTAAATATTCTATGTAATATGAGGGGCCCTCTTATAGAGTAACCCCCTTACTAACACTTCTCTGTACTATGGCATACCCTCATACAGTGCTCACCTATATACTAATTCTTTTATGCACTTTGGAGTACTGTACCGTCATACAGTGAACATTATTGTATGAAGTCTCATGCTCCCACAATAAGAACTTCCATACCAAGTGTTGTGCTCACTGTGGGGGACCTCTGTACTAAGTCTCCTATGTACTGTGAGGGATGTTTCTAATGGTATGGCGCATCCTAATGCAGTGAGCCCCACCATACTACCTACTTACTTCCTATGTACTATGGGGGACCTGCATACATTGAGTACTTCCATACTATGTGTCCATAGCACCATGTGCGGACCCTCAGACAGTAACTCCATACTAAGTCAGCTATGCACTATTGGGTATCCTCTGTGTTCTGATCCATGCACTAGGCAACTCCTTACTATTGGTTCCTACTGAACACAGAGGATAAGGACCCCTAAATATAGGAACCTCTTATGCACGGAGTCAGGCAACCCATTATATAATGATCCCTACCTTCTTTACACCGGGATTCCCCATACACTGCGCATTCTATATACCCTGGAGACTTGTAGTTTGTGCTTGAAGGCTCTTGTATGCTGACTATCCTTCATACACGAGTACCTCCAGTATATTGGACATCTTTTATATGCCAGCAATCTCCACAAAGTTTTATGGACCACGAGTATCCCCAGTATACTGGAACCCATCATGTCCTGGTCGCCTCAGACAATAAGGGTCCCTGCAAACTATATACAGTAAGGATCATCAGTAGAACATTATGTAGTGTTTTGTAGCAAGTCAGGAACAATACATTTCATGTACAACTTTAAAAGATAGACACCAGCAGGGATTTATTAGAAATGTTTACTCCATGGCAAAACCAGGACTAACTTTCTATTTATATGCTAATTTAGACTGAGAATCCTTTATAATCCCATTTTGGACATAGATTCTAGAATAGGACTCATAACTGCTGCAGAACCTCTTTACAATCAGGAGCTGTCCAGTGCTAACATGCAGGTAACTGCCTGCAGCAGCTTTCAAATTTATTTACTTTTTTTTTTTTTGTTGTTGTCTCTGTACCCAGACAATTAGACAACATGTGGATGTTTATTCCTTGTGGCCTGCTTGCTGGTACTCCCCAAATTTGGTTACACTTTTTTTTTTTTATCATACTGATGTAAGCTGGACAAAGGCATGTAGCCTAAAACAAGCCAGAGCCCATTTCATCCAACAAAGCAATTATATTGTCTTGTGCTATAAAATATGTAGGTCAGGATTAATAAAAGACAGGTGCTTTATTTCTTGTACTTTTCCTTATGTCCATGCTTAGCAGGAATGTTGGCTATTGTACGTCTTTGCAGAATATGCTTTATAAAAAGATTAACTACAATGGGTGCTGGAACCCACCTAAATGTAGATTGAGTTAAGATTCTTTTAAAGGCAGTATACAACCTTTGTGGGATTCCACGTTTCATTCCTTTGACATCATCGATTCAATTGGTCATAAGCGAAATTTGCCAAGTGCACGTTCTTGCTTGTTGCTTATGGAGTGATAGTGAATGATCCCAATTGAATCTCTGTCCAGTGATCTGATTAAAACTGATTGCAAACTTTAATGTCATGTGGCATCAAAACGGCTTAGACTGGCATATCCCTAAATGTCACGATGAAGCAGTGTCTGTTTTGCCATGTAGCCCTAAGCTGTTTAAGTGTTGTTTCCAAAGATAACACCTGTTGGGTTACTAGTGTATTGCCACAGCTGTTATTTTATTTGACAGTGAGATGCTAATGGGTATTATTCTCTTAACTAGAACTGTGGGAAAATTAACAAGAAAATTGCTAATGTTAAACTAAAATCGGAAAATCGTTTATTTTTCTGTATTTTTATACTCTTATTGTGGCCTTAAATTTGCAATTTCTTTTGTCAGTTTTCCAGAATTCTTGTTTTAATGAATAAGCCCAGTCTTTCAATAAGATTCTATTATGATTGCCCACTTGTAGGAATATTGATACAAGTCCGGAAGTTACACAATCCTTTTTGTTTCATATTTGGCAATGGAAGCATCATTTTAGTCCTGTTAATTAACTTTGTAAAAGTAAATTGTACATCATCCAGGCACAGCCAGGCGTAAAGTTTTATATTAAACACAAAGTGTGTTTGGACCTGCAAAAACATATGGATTAATTGGGCATTAAGCAATAAGGCTTGGGTATATGATAGCTGTGGTATCTCTGCCTTTTCTGTTTGCAAAAGGAGGACATGTCTCCTGGATGCTGATATCTGATAAGAGATGTGTGCAGGGGAGATAAACTTACCTGAAGCTATCCCTCTTCTGTGCCACCTTCTCTCTCCGCAAACGAAGATTCCAGGAGTTAAATTAAGTGCTTTTAATGTACCAAAACCTTTACATCTTAATGGAGAGGTTTTGGTGCATAGATACTGTCCATTTTCTCAGAATAAACAAAGTAAACTTTGGCATTTCTGAGAAGTGGCATTGTTTGAATTTGTCATAAAACCTGCTTCACTGGTGGCTGTCGCTGAATGCTTCCAGTACTGCTCGTAGAGAAGTTCTGGATGGAGTGCTTCTACATGAGAAGCATTTGATTGACACAGTAATTGCTTCCTGTGCTCCAAAGGTTCTCATTGCATCCAGTTGAGTCAAATATCATCAATGTGAGGGATGGGGGGCGGGGGAATGTTAAATCAGTACTGTGTAGCAAGGTATCTTTGAATGCTCAACATTTTAAACTTGAAGTGGATGGGTGACAGTAGCAGAAGTCCACTCTGGTTTCCACTCCTGCCAACCAAGGAACGAAAACTGAGAACTGGTAGAACATTACCTGATCTGACACATCTCGATTTGTGCTGTAACATGCAGAAAGAATGTGGCTTAAACGTGAATGCATCCTGCCTGTGCCAAATGTTCAGTCTTGTGATGTGTGTTCCATTATCACCATGGTGTATCCATATTCTAATGGCTTCTTCCTGCAGGATAAGACATAATGTCACAAAGCCCATGTCATTTCATAAAAGTTTCACCTATGTAAAAGCGTTCAGTTTACTGGCAGGCTGAGTCACAGGGTGCCTGGCACCATAACTACTGCAGTGTGCTGTAGTGGTTATGGCATTTGGTATCTCTTTAAATTATTTTAAAAGTAACAGATGGTTGCAATTAGTATAAAGTTGTGCAGGATAGGTGTATGTTTTAACTAGACATTTTATGATGTATGTGAAATAGTGACTTTTCTTGTAAACCAGTTTGTATCTGGGTTTTTGGGCTGGGCAGTGCCTGTTAATAGATTGTGGTTTTTTTAATCTTGTGTGCTGAGTAATCCATTAGGAAAGACTGTTTTTAATAGACATTGTTAACTCTAAAATAAGGCCAGAGCTGAAACTGGGTGTCAAATGTACTCGCACTGTAGTGAGGTGGAAGAGGAACACAGAGCTGCGGAATCCAGAACTATCTGTTGAACAAAAGTGCTTTATGGCTCTTAAAGGGGAAGACAGGCCAACATTTATTTATTTATCTACCTGTCTTTTTTAAATGGATGTTTTGGTGTCGGACAGCTTTTATTGCTCACTGAATCCTTAGTCTTTGAATAATCTTATCACAAGAAAAATTAGTAATGTGCCTGCATTCATTAAGAAACATAGAATGTGACGTCAAATAAGAACCATTCGGCCCATCTAGTCTGCCCAATTTTCTCAATACTTTCATTAGTCCCTGGCCTTATCTTATAACTAGGATAGCCTTATGCCTATCCCAAGCATGCTTAAACTCCTTCACTATGTTAACCTCTACCACTTCAGCTGGAAGGCTACTCAATGCATCCACTACCCTCTCAGTAAAGTAATGCTTCCTGATATTATTTTTAAACCTTTGCCCTCTAATTTAAGACTATGTCCTCTTGTTGTGGTAGTTTTTCTTCTTTTAAATATAGTCTCCTCCTTTACTGTGTTGATTCCCTTAATGTATTTAAATGTTTCTATCATATCCCCCCGTCTCGTCTTTCCTCCAAGCTATACATGTTAAGATCCTTTAACCTTTCCTGGTAAGTTTTATCCCGCAATCCATGAACCAGTTTAGTAGCCCTTCTCTGAACTCTCTCTAAGGTATCAATATCCTTCTGAAGATACGGTCTCCAGTACTGTGTATAATACTCCAAGTGAGGTCTCACCAGTGTTCTGTACAATGGCATGAGCACTTCCCTCTTTCTAGAGCTAATACATCTTCCTATACATCCAAGCATTCTGCTAGCTCGTGATCACACTTCCAATGCAATCCTTAGGAAAGTTGGGATTAGTATTGGATCCATGTGGGACACTGTTTGCGCAGATAGCATTGAAGCCAGTATGCGTTTGTGCCACATCCTCATTATCAGAGAAAAGATGGGGTTTATTTACCAAGCGCTGATTTGAAAGCTGAATTTCTAACTGTAGGATAAAATATTATACTCCATGACTATGGCAATGTGTTACGATTCCCAGTCTGGCTAACTTGGCCTAAAATGTCTGTTTTTTTTTTTTTTTTTTGCTCTTCACTATGGCTCCATGTTTAGTGAATGAATAAAGCCACATTTATCACCCTGAATCACAGGCGGTCCACATTTTCTTAGTGCCTGCAGTGATAGCGAAACATTTTGTATATTTTTAGGATGTTAGGTTTTTGGATTTTGCATTCAGCACAGTCTGCTAGGTGCTAACCTTTACTTACTGTAGTGTTATATGTGGATCTCTTAATTAATTTCTTTGTTTCCTTTCTTTATCCCTGTGTGCTCTTTTTATAATTCTTTTTTTTCCAGTTTTCAGCCTTTTCCCTGCCTTGTGTCTGCAGCCGCCCCTGCCCACCCTCTTTCCTTTCTTTTCCAAGCCTGTTTGCCAGCAGCCCTGGCGCTAGGTGAGCTGCAGTAACGCTGCTGGTGTAACGTATCACAGTGGGTGCTGAGCTAATGAATGGCTGCCTTTAGTTATACGTGCTGTGCTAGGGTGTTATTGTGTCTTATGAGCTTGAGGTCGGAATTACCCTGTGCTCTGCTAGGTGAGTCTTACTTCCTTGTTCATATCAAATATAAAATGCATTCCACACTCGGTCTTGATATATAGAGATTGTTCATAACATTGAAAATAACTTTTCCTACATGTTTAACTAACCCTGATCAAGGTGATCGTCTTTGGTGGTTGGTGATGGTGCGCAGCCTGGGATTTTCCAAGACAATAGATTGGTTGGGGCCAATCTTATGATGACTGGTGGATATATTGACTGAATATAGCTCCATATTGGTGGGGCAAAGCTTAGCTGAGTGTGATGCAGTGAAACATGTAGTTGTCTTGAAAAAGTCCCGTGGGAGGGACGAAACGCGTAGACGGGTGAATCGGATGAACCTACACCTGCTGTGATTGAGGAGTGAGAGCAGGAAGCGTTTTCGTACTTTGGCGTTTTTTTTTCATCGGATGAACTTATTTGGTATTGAAGCTGTAACGAGCTGTGGCGGTGAGTGTGTCCTGTATATATCGCGGTCTTTTTTGAAGATCCCGACCGCGGTATACTCTACATCATTCTGAGGAACCATCTGTGCCACTTGCTGGACTTTACCATCTCTCCAAGTTTATCATTATCGCCTCCAGCTTGTTTTATTCATTATTATTTTTTCTACACGTTCTGTGTATACACCTCGGTGGGGGGCCCACACCGAGGAAAGGTACTTTTTATATCTATTACAGTATATACTTAGTATAGTATTACGTGTTAGAATTGTTATATTTGTATCTGGGTCTGGTAGGGATGCTACTCTGACACTTTGTTACTTTTTACCTAGTGTCTGAGATAATCCTTTTGACCGGGTTACTTCACTCTGCATTTTTGTGTGATCATATTTGCCTTTTTTTTTTTTTAAGGGATACATTGTTTTTTATCTCATATCAGCAGGTCTAGGTCATCTTTGATCTGTTTTTTTACATTTGTTATTTATTATTTATTTTATTTTTTGGAATAAAATATTGATTTATTGATTTGTTTACATTCTTAATTACCATATGTCTTATGATTAAAGAGCGCACACGCTTTGTTTAACTTTTGAGCTTATACTCATTTTTAGTCGCTGGTGGATGTGTGTAGCTGCTCTTATTTTTATTTTTTTGTTCTTTATATGTATTGCACCTATATTGTATTTTTTAAACATGTAGTTGTGGTACTGTTCTTGAACTGCAATTTACCTGCTTTGCAGCAAGTGGTTTGGGCCATGTAAAAGATGGATTTATGTGCATTATTGCCCCTTTCTTTTTATGGTTGGGGGGATTGTGAGCGTTATGTCTGGGTGAAGTGCTGTTTATCCTCCCTTCTTTTTCTTGTAAACCGATTTGGGAGTGGTTTGGTTTCCTCGCCAGCATCCTGTTAAACTAAACATTTCCTCTCAAAACTCCATTTCTTTGCCTTTTCTCTTTCTGTATGGATTGACCTTAAAATACTAAAGTAAAGAGGAAATAGGGCAAGTAACTACTGTGGATTCAGTTTTATCGGGGTTATTTACTAAATCTGAAATTTGTTAAATGAACACTCCAAGTACCATAACCACTACAGCACACTATAGCAGTTCTGAACCCCAATGTAAATAGTCAATCAGTTTGACTTTTATTTGGGGTCTGCTGGGCCCCCATCCCTACCTCCACTTCAATGTTGTCTCTAGCAGAAGCTAGAAGTCTGTCTCCCAAACCAGCTATTTTGGTTTTAATTTTGTAATGGTGTATTCAGTTCACTAAAATTTGCTGTTTAGTAATAAGATCTTGGTTTTCTGTCCATTTTTGTAAGAGAGGACCAGTAGCTTACTAAAGCCCAATTCACTATAAAAGGTTAGAGGCGTTTTAAACTTTAAAGCAAAGTTGAGGAATTGTTTAGAATAAGTGCCTTCACAGACTGTGTGCCAAAGACACGTCGACTCCATGTGGGAAACATGTGATTATCAATCTCTCCAGTGGTATCCAGATCTAACCTTATTATACAGTCTGCTTAATGTAAAGCTCTGCTTTAATTTAAACCATTCTGTATCTGAACGGGTTTATTTGCGGAACTTTCGGTTACTGCATATTTTAGACCCAAGTTCTCCAACAAGCTTTTTGTCCAGTTTAGCTAATGTATGTATAAAATCCTTAATTCCCTATCCAGATCTAGATATTTGCCAATTTAAATGAACAGTCAAAGTGCCATAACCAATACGGCCTGCTCTAGTGTTCATGGTTTGAGGACCGTCCTGACGCTGTCCAACATGTACAGTCGAAGCATTTTTTATTAGGGTTCTACAACTTGCCTCTGTCCTGCCATGATAGTGTGCCCGCAGCACTGCTACAGGTCTCTGCTGCAAAAGAATCCAGTTCGCTTTACAGAGCTATGTTGAACACGCTCATTGTGTGGCTCTGTGTTTGCAAGGCTTTTACACTGCAGTGAATTTTGAATTCTCCTGCAAACCCCCCCTCCCCCTCCCCCCCCCAAAAAAAACCGCATGTGGCGTTTGTCCTTGGTAGATCCAAGTATGTTGTCATACCATTCTAAGACTGTTTGACCACTTATCGGGACAGTGCCAGGGCACTCAGGACTGTAGAGGATATGATGATGTACCATAACCACCAGAGGTAATTGTAGTTGTATGATTCTGGAACGACATTATTATTTATATAGCGCCATCAGATTCCGTAGCGCTGACATGTTACCATGTGTACTTTTGCAGCCAGTCAAGTGTGATGACTGTAGACAAACCGTAGGGTTATCTGCCACTACAATGAGAGATCTTTCTTTTGTGTGAATATAATACAAGGCAGCTAGTTAATCTATCCATTAAAAATAAATGAAGTTTCTCGTTTCAGGCGTCTGGGTGGCGCATGTCATATTATTCACAGAATAGAAGGATTATATGCTTGTTTTACTTTTAGTTTGTTTCCCCTGTTGGATAACTATAAAACAAATGTCTCTTTAGCAGAAAAATACTTTGTTCTGTTTTCTTTATATTCTGCTTTATCTTATCACCATTCATGTGACTTGTGAAGGATTTTTAACTCCACAATTACTCAAAGCTGCCTGCGATTGGAAATCAGTAGAAAAGATTGCTTCTGTCCTTTTCGAAGGCAAATGACATCACTGATTTAGTCATTTATGGACTTTAAGTCACAGCGCAGATAATGGAGGGAGTTGTACCATCATAAAACTTTGTGTTGAAACCTTTAAATTTAAAGGGACACTTGTATTGCTGAGCCATGTACCAGATTGTTACAGCAGACATAATTGTTAGTTATGTACTTTGCAAACGTGTTATTTCTGTTACCCAACAAGGCATACATGGGTGTAAATCACTTTAATTTGGCACAACATGTAGGCTCCAGCAATGATGTTTAATTATTTCATGCCAAACGGGCTTTTTTCTTCTTCCTTTTTATTTTTCTTCCCTTTTTTTTAAAGCAGCCAGCAGAGTTTAGGTTAAAATGCAAGGCTCTGTCTGGGAATCTGAGAATTCCAGCAATACAGTTCCCCACCCCTCCCCTCGCACTGGTAGGCAGAGATGTGTTAAAGGAATTTCCTCCCTTGTGATCACATGATTATATTAGGAGAGACTTGGCAATAGACCGTATTCCAAATACTAAATGTGAATCTGTTATCATTTCACCCAACAGTCTCTATTTAAGTGGGACAGTTCCTGTTTTCAGGCCAAATCCCGTTGTCGTCGTCGTCCCCCGTCCCCCGTCCCCTTTTTTTTTTTTAAATCTAAAATCCCTCTTTTGTAGGAGCTCAGTATTCTTGGTGTGTCTGAATGTATCATAGAATCTATTCTAGTACTCCACATCAATAATACTGCCAGTAATGTGCCTTTAAACTACAATAAACGTGTTTTTAGAAATCGGTTTGTGCAAAGAAGATAACATTTGTTCTTATTTTAAATAAATTCATAATGCAGAAATTATTAGTAAGTTAAGTAACATTTCTCAAAAGCCCCACCAATGGGCATACCGCCACCCCCCCACCCCCCTAAAATTAAAGTGTCCCTCTTGGTCAATTTGACATATTGGTAGATATGCTTTATTAATCTTGTTGCCTCTGCTCATGGAAATATGTATATTCTCCATCTCACATACTCTGCAGCAGTCTGGGACTGTAAATCCCACTAATCATGGGCACAACTAGGGTAATCGTAACATCCTCACCTTAACACTACTGAACATTTACTCTACACAATCATTAACCCCTCCACTACCTTAATCCTTAACGCTGTAATTTCTGGGTTCTGGAGACATTTATAAACTATTTGACAACTTGAAGTGTTGGTAAGAGGGTACGTTTTCACATAACGTAGTTTAAAAATGCCATAAAACTCAACAAGAGGTTATTTCCATCTATTACTCCTTTTGCTGTCAAATTATGGACTACAGTAGTTTAATGTTCCATAGCTAGATATATATATTGTTACATTTGGACCCCGATGCTTGTGTGTTCAACATGTGTTCTTTAGGTTGCCTGAACATCTTGGGGGAAATATATTGCGCAAGCATCAAGGTTGCCAAATACTGTGTGTGTGTGTGTGTGTGTGTGTGTGTATATCTACTTTTATATGTGTGGGAGAAACAACACAGAAAGCTGGAGAATGTAATTATCTAAAAGGAAATGACACAATGAATGAGTGTGTACACATTTTCAATGTTTGTGTGTATGTTTGCATGTGCATACACGTTTGTATATAATTTACATACTAGATACTACGATGCAATTTGGGTAACACTAAAACTTTTCGTTTGTATGGACCCAGCAGTGCATTATGGTTTAATATAGATATAATGTATAAAGTGAGGTACCTGACCGCTTCTTCAAAAGGCTTCCCACAGCAATGCAGTGCAGTTTGCTGTCCGTTTGCCGATGTCGCAAGGATGGCACCTTAAACATGGAGGACAGTGTTGGTGAGGCAAAATATTTTATAATGAAATTGGGAGTTTTAGTACGCTATTTATGCAGGATATGTGCTGCTAATTGCTAGGACAAAGAGACTGGTTACATGTAAATAAAATGTTTAGTTACCCCAGATTTCAGCCAGATAGTGGACGATAAACTGAGGGAGAACAGGTGTTCGCTGGATGAAAGAATGGCCACATATGAGGGGGTTTGTGATGGAGACTGTGAGCCAGACACAGGGGAGGAAGTGGGGATGGTGCTGGCAGTGATTTTAGCTGATGACAGGGCACTAAACACAAAGGGTGAAGAACAGCCCAGCACAGCTACTGTGTGTCTGGATGTTTCCAGAGAATGCTATGGGGTCATCGCTTGTTCATCTGATGCCTGTATTGCTGACCCCTCTGCCATCTGGGAAATGAAAAGGGACGCATACAGCTAGAAACTAAAAACTGGTCAGTGTGACTTGTGATGCCATTCCCCAGCAATCCTAACCATGCACACACTAAGCCATGAATTGTGCACAATTACAAATGATGCGGTTAAACTATTTTGCCCTCACATCTTACATTTCCCTTGTCAATATGCCATATTTATCTTTTTTAGGGGACTCTTCAGGGAAGTTTAGCTTTCTAAATTGCTTTGTGTGAATAGTCTGTCCTGTTTTTGTTGTTGTTATTTTTTTCCCCTTCATTTTGCAAAAAGTGTAGATTTCAGTGGAAGTTGGCACAATTGAATTTTACTTTTATATAAAACCCCCTTGACTGTCGTGCAGACAACCGGTCCTGTAAACCAGCAACAGTAATTGTAAGTAGTGCACTTAAAGGCACACTGTAGGCACCCAGACCACTTCAGCTAATTGAAGTAGCCTGGGTGCTGTGACCTTTTTGCACCTAGTGCTGCAATGTAAAACATTGCAGTTCCAGAGAACTTAGAGGGCTTCCGGAATCCAAACTGACTTTTGGTCCGTTATCCCACGCTGGATGTCCTCACAGACCTCCAGCGTCATATTTTCCCCATAGGAAATTCTTGACTAATGCTTTCCTATGGGGAGGTCTGATGCGCGCGGGCGGCCAGTGCTGCTAATGCTCATTAGGTCTCCTCTGCCGGCTGACATCGGCGGGGGAGGAGCGTGGGCGGAACCTGACTCAGCGCCTAGGGACATCGATTTAGGCAAGTGACTGACGACTTTGTTTTCCTGGCACTATAGGATCCCTTTAAGTTCTTCAAACAGTAATTAGATAGTAGCCGCTATACACTCTAGTGAGTTCCTCTCTTACCCACTACAAAGTATATACACAGAAAAAATATAGTCACCAATGTTCGAGATTAAGAAGCTCAAAACTATATCTATGGGAGTGGAATGCTATACAGTAGAGTAAAAAAAAAAGGGGGGTGTACACTTAGCCCAAACAATTATAACATTCAGACAACAGATCTTGTTACTTCCTGGTTTGGTTAGCTTAGTTGCACTGAGCTCTAGAGGCAGCAATCACCCAGAGCAACTGACTTGCAAAAGACTTCTCATTGAGATGCATTGGGATGTCTGTGATTGGACACCCACAGAAAATCTGGGTGGGTTTAGAAGGGGAGGGATTGAATTCCAGTCTGCTGGTACTGGCCCTGCCCCTCATCTGCCTCTTTGGCTTACATCATCAGAAGTGATGACCTCAGACAATCACTATGTTTTTACACAGGAAAGCATTGGATTGGCTGGGATTGTCAATTCCGATGCTCTCAGCCAAGGAAGTGGGCTAGGGACAGAGCCAAACACTGTCCTTGCCAATCTTCAATCTACTACAAAATAACTGCAGGGACTGACTATACTCACCAGATCTAATTAAGCTGTAGTTGTTCTGGTGACTATAGTTTCCCTTGAAGAAACAGTCTAAGATAGGAGTAGGAAACCTTTGGCAATCCAGATGTTGTGGACTACATCTCCCCTGATGCCATGCCAGCAATAATTATGGCGATGTAGGCAGAGCGCCGACCCAGCACTGATGGACATCAGCGTTCGAATCGGGAAAGTAAATAAAGGTGGTGTTTTTTTTTTTTTTTTTTTTTTAAAAACCCTTGACATGCTGGGCGTGAGGGATTTTATATTCATAATACTATAGAATCTCTTTAAAAGAACACTTAAGTGTTAGGAATACAAAGCTTTACCACTATACCCCACCCCCAGGCCACTTCAAATAAAAAGGGTTAAAAACCTTATTAGACGCATTAGGCTTTCTCTGTAGGGAAGTACTGATTTAAAGGAACACTATAGTCACCTAAATTACTTTAGCTAAATAAAGCAGTTTTAGTGTATAGATCAATTCACTGTAATTTAGGAGTTAAATCACTTTGTTTCTGTTTATGCAGCCCTAGCCACACCTCCCCTGGCTATGATTGACAGAGCCTGCATGAAAAAAAACTGGTTTCACTTTCAAACAGATGTAATTTACCTTAAATAATTGTATCTCAATCTCTAAATTGAACTTTAATCACATACAGGAGGCTCTTGCAGGGTCTAGCAAGCTATTAACATAGCAGGGGATAAGAAAATCTTAATTAAACAGAACTTGCAATAAAGAAAGCCTAAATAGGGCTCTCTTTACAGGAAGTGTTTATGGAAGGCTGTGCAAGTCACATGCAGGGAGGTGTGACTAGGGTTCATAAACAAAGGGATTTAACTCCTAAATGGCAGAGGATTGAGCAGTGAGGCTGCAGGGGCATGTTCTATACACCAAAACTGCTTCATTAAGCTAAACTTGTTCAGGTGAGTATAGTGTCCCTTTAATGCTCTCCTATGGAGTTTTTGAAGACTCTGCACAATGTCCAATGTCTGGTAGACAACCACTAGAGGTATTAACTCTGCAATATAAACATTTGTTTCTCCAAAGCTGCAATGATTTGGATTATAAGGTTAAGGGAACAGGGACAGTGCACACAGACCACTACAATGAGAGGAAATGTCCCTTGAAATCAAACTCTAACAGACACATTTAGATTTTCTTTCGAGAGCCAGTGATTTTGGTAGTCAGTCTTCCGCTGCCCTTGTTTCTGTTAAGAAATAACAGCGTCCTCTTTGCAAGAAATTGGTCTTGAATATCTGTTTTGCCACTTGTGAAATGTGAACCGTGTTATTAATAAGTCTTCTACTCCAATCTGAAGAGGCTTCTAGTCTGGGAACTGCCAGATACATTGGATGATTGTCATGAGACTGCTGTCTTGTGATGTTTTTTTTTTAATTTTTTTTTATTTTATTCTTTTCGCAAAAAATGAAAGAAGTGAAACTGTTGAATCAATGTATGTGGGAAAAAAAAGTTTAAATATAGATGGAATTTTTAGCTTCATTTTTTAACCATCTCATGAGAGATTTATTTTTCTGCCGTTTTGGCAATTTGTACAAAAATGTTTAATACTGCAATACTGGTTTTGGTGAAAAAATTGCATTACCACCAAATTTCTCTGTAAGCACCAAAACATTTTTTTTTTTGTTTTGTTTTTTTTTTGTTTTGTTTTTTTTTTAGCTTAAAGGGACACTATAGGCACCGATACCACTTCTGCTCATTTAAGTGATCTGGGTGCATATTCCCAGGTCCCTTAACCCTGCAAAGTTTCCCTTTATTGAAGCAGTTTTGATATATAGTTCATGGTTATTCACGAATGTTAGAACGAATTCAACATGAATCTCAAAGTTTAAAAACCCCTTCAGTCACTTGCCTGAATCCAGCGCCGATGTCCCTCTGTGCTGGGTCAAGCTCAGCCTACGCTCCTCCCCCTGCTGGCAGGAGAGACCTTATGCAACAATGACCGCGCTTGCATTAGGATTTCCCCATAGGAAAGCATTATTCAGTGCTTTCTTATGGGGAAAAATCTGACACTGGAGGACCTCATGCTGAGCGTGAGGACGGCCAGCGTCAGGTAACAGACCAAAGGCCCGTTTCGATTCCAAAAGACAGACAGCCACTAGAGGTGGAGTTAACCCTTAGAGGTAATTATTGCGGTTTCTCAGAAACTGAGAGCAATAATTACCACTGTAGGATTAAGGGACCTGGGACATTGCACCCAGACCACCTCAATGAGCTAAAGTGGTCCCTTTAAGTACAGTGTCCCTTTAAGTCCAAATTAACAAAATTAAGAAAAAAAAATATTTTGTGTTCAGCTTGGCTACTATGGCCTTAAATTTGAACTTTTGTTTGAATTCCCGGTAGTTCTCCTTTTATTGAATAGTGTGTAACCCTGATAGTGTCTTATTTTTGTGATTTATCATGTTTTATTCATTTTGTTTCTTAAAGCTACTTTGAGAATTGTTTGTTTTATTAATTGGATATATACAGGGTTTTTAATTTAAATGAGAATTGTCAGAAATGTAAAGTGAATTTTAAATTTAAGTCCTTTGAAGTCCCTCCTATTCTTACATTAGTGAAAACCCAATTTTACTCTGTTTTATGTATCTGCTATTACTGGGAGCCATAGGGCAGAGGTTTTACTCTCAAGCACCTATACATTATGAGTTGGCACCAAATCATAGTAAATTGAATGGTATAATTTAAAGGAACACTATAGGTTCAGGATCACAAACTTGTAATCCTGTCCCCATAGTGTTAAAACCACCATTTAGGTGGCTGCCCCCCCTTAAACGGTAATAAAACGTAGCTTATTGTCATGCTCCGCGCAGGTCCCCATTGGGAAAGCATTCGATTGGCTGAAATCTGCAGGCCGGCTTGGCCAGTCAGCACCTTCTCATAGAGATGCATTGGAGGTGTCCCTACATGAAAATGCCAGCAGGGAATGATTGTCATGGTTATACTCACCAGAACATCTACATTAAGCTGCAGTTGTTCTGGTGACTATAGTGTCCCTTTAACCTAAAATAGCCAAACTGTGACTTGAACGGAGTTAGAGATTCCAAAATCTATCTTTTATGCCTAGTGAATAAAAACATACAAAATTAAGCCCAATGTTCAAACACCCACTACTCCTGGGCAGCGACACTGACCATAGTACTCAGCCCAATACATAGAATAAAAAAAGTTGCCTGCGCACTATGCTAAATCCCTCTGAACATTGAAATAACTGTAGGTTTTTAGTGTCACAAAATTATTTAATTATCTATAGGGATTTAGGATAGTGCCCAGGTAACTTATTTTATTTTTTTATGCTTCGTGATTAAACCCTAATAATATGTGTCCCTTCCTTTGGCCATCCTCCTTGTTATCGAAACTTGATTGATGGCTGATCTCAGCCCTCGTTCCAGACACCTATTCCAGCAGATATTACAGATCTATCAAAATAATGACGGTGAACTAAACCTTAAAAAAAAAAAAAAAAAAGGCTGATTTAAATACTAAACGGTGTGTATGGCACAGTCATCTCTTGTGATTCTATTAGTTCCATATCCTGCCTTGACGGATAGAAAAGGCTCTGTATAGTGCAAGTTCTCATACAATGGAAACCTTTGATTCAGAATTTTCTTTATCTTATTGCGTGCCACAGAATCCTGAGTAGCATCTTGTGAAGCACACATTTTGCCTCCAGTAGCATTTTTTTAATAATGTATTTTAAAATAAAAAGAAAACCTGCTGACATGTCAGTGACCTCTACACACTTACTTTAGGATTTGCAGTAAAACTTTGACTAATGTAATAGGATTTTAAGAGGTAGAATGTTTTGATATCATTGTGGTTACTGTTATTTTTTCTTTCCTGTAGAACAATTTTGTATTTATTTATTTTGTGTGTTTGTGGCAAAACTGTCCTACAAGAAGTGCTTATAGTTGCTCTAAAGTGCCCGTTTTTAAATCTACAATATAAATGTATAATGTGTTTTTTTTTTTTGTTTTTTTTTAAAGAAATTTATTGAGTTTGAAGATTTACAAGAGCAGGATAAGAAAGAGCTGCAAGTGCGCGTGGAAAACTTAGAGTCCCAAACTAGACAACTTGAACTTAAAGCGAAGAACTATGCAGATCAAAGTAAGACACAGCACAGGCGCTCTCTGTCTAACTGAATGTACATGTTTCTCCTAGCCTAGAACTCCTGTCACAATGACATACATGCCAATGAGATTTTTTTTTTTCTTTTATGCTTTCAAGAATATTTTGTTTTTTTTTCTCCCTTCCCTGCCCCTTAGTATACATCTCCCCTCCCTCCCTGTCCTTTACTGTGTGTCCCCTCCTCCTCTCCCCTCCCTGGTGTGCCTCATTACCTCTCGCGCAGCGGGCCGTGGTACAGGAGCTTCAATTTCCTGTACCCGGCCAGACTGACAGGAAGTGCTCTCTGTGAGAGGTACGCTCAACCACGCTACAATGAGTGACTGGCTGGTAGGGTGAGCGCTGTGTGCTTCCTTCCTGCCAGTTACTCAGCTCTTGCGCCTTAAGACTGCCCCTTGTGCCGCCATAATGGATGCGCCGGCCCTGCGTGCGCTGGGTCACCACTGCCTCTCACATTGTCTGCAATATCGCTATCAATAGTGGCCGATACCGATATTTTCCAAAATCCAGAATATCAGTTGATCCCTAATACACACACACACACACACCCAGCAGGTTTGGATATAAAGTGGTTACACATTGTTTAGTACCGTACATTGACTCTTATGGCTGTAGTCCACTCAGTTTGACTCTTAATCATTTCGTTTAAATCTGGTTAAGAAAGGGGAGAGGGGTTGGTTTACATAATGCAGATTTGCTTTGCATGGAAAATGTAAAAATAATACTTTCGGGTATCTTGATGTTTTGTTTTTTTCAGTGTAATATTTTTGTAATCTAATAGTTTATTCTATTTCCAGTTGGTCGTTTGGAGGAGAGGGAGGCGGAGCTCAAAAAGGAATATAATTCGCTTCACCAGAGGCATTCTGAGGTGGGTGTGGTCATATTCGTAACGAAGAATCGTTCGGAAATGCAAATACTAGTCCGCTAAAAAAAAATCTTTCATTTTCTTCTTTGAGACAAAATGTTCTATTTTTCTAACTTTTTTTATTTTAAAGTCTAAAGGTTCTCTGCTATTGCTTGTGTCACTACTTGTTTGCAATTTGAGCAGTCAGTGAAATTGGTCAGTGACAAATCTTCTCGTGCTCTGCTCGTCTTCCTATCACAGCTCCTGCAGGGAGAGAAGCTCCTCAATGTTTCGCTCCTCAATCTTTTCATATAATATGACTGCAACATAAAGTGCAAAAAATTAAGCAGATTTACGGCATATATCTACGTACAAATGTGTAGCTTTCACTTTGTACTTGGATATTTCAACATGTTTCTAACTATCCATATGGCACAAGTATTTAAGCTAAGCACTTTCTGTGCATCCAGTTTAACGTAGAGTTTTCAACTTGGTATGCAAGTGCATATGTGCTCGTGCAAACCGTGGACAGGCAAAGCTGTAAACCAAATAAAAAATGTGATTTGCGTTATATGTTTGACTACAACACTGTTTTGTTTATTTTCTATACAATAGGCTTTTCATATATTTGAACAGACAGGGAGTGTCACTCTGCAGAACTTCTAGCACAATGCATAGATAGAATTTACTGCCCTTTATAAAGGGCATACATTGTACCTGGCATGACGGGTACCCTTTAAGAACTGCATTGAGCCTATTGCAGCCTTTTACGTCAATGTGTTTTGAGGCACAGCAAGTGCAATCGCATCTGTTTCCTTGGATGCAGCTGTGTGCTAGTAATTTGTTTGGAAAAGGTAAAAGAATTAAGTGTATTGTTTAGTCCACTGCTTGGGATTTCACGGACATAATGTATGGATTACATTTTATATACATTCCTAATAGTGGGATTACTTGGTTATCTCTTTGTTTGGCTGTGTTGTATACAGTAGAGGAAGTTGCAAGCTAGATTGGAAGCCAAACAAAGTCCACAAGAAAATCTCAAAATATCACTTGAAAACCGACTGCTATAATTTAATCTTAAAACATGGCCCCTCTTTAAAAGAACACTCCTAGTACCATAATCATTACAGCACACTGTAGTGATTATGGTGAAAATAGTGCACTGCATTTAAACTATTCTCTACCTTCCACTTCCTGCCTGCCCTGATAGGTTTAGGATTTAGTTAAGAGAACTTTTGACTATTAGTAGTAGTCCAGGCAGGGGGAGCAGTGCCCAACACACACCAGCTAAGGTGTAAAATTGTTTGACTACTTACTGTGGGGGGTGTACGGGCTCTCCTGGCACCATAACTACTGCAGAATTCTGTTGTAAGTGTGTAAAAAATGGGCTCTGAGTGATAATGACCACCAAACGTATTGATCATTAATCTTATTGACCATCAAGCCAAAATAGTAAAAGTAGATATATTTTTCAATTCTGTGATTATTGGCTTCAGTTTTTCATTTCAATTTCCCCACATTTCATTTTATGGTTAGGGGTGGGGGATTTAATTTCCGCCCTTTACAAGAAAACTATTGTAATGGAATTTGCGTAAACTTCTGCTTTCTTAGAATGTTTTCTATTTTTAAAATGACAATTTGTATTTTTCTTACATTCAGTATAGTTAAAGAATTCAATACGGTATTACTGTGTCGTAATCTTTAACCCCTTAAGGACCAAACTTCTGGAATAAAAGGGAATCATGACATGTGTCCTTAAGGGGTTAAAGGAACAGTAAAATGTGTTGGAATCCTTGCCGCTGAGTTATTCTTTCATTAGTAGATAAGATTTGAAAAAAAACGGGTGGATTTAATTTTTTTTTTTTTATATATATTTTTGTGAAGTATAGGAGGTGTTACCGTAGTGATAATAGATCACTTGCCTTTTTGACAATAAAATTACACTAAAGTAGGTTTATTAGATCCCATCACATCGACATGTTCTAAATGTATATGATCTATAATAACTACAGTATTAGTAAAGTGTGAAAATGTGCAGTAAAGTTAGCATGCTTTCAAAAACAAATATTAGTAGTGTATTTTTTTTTTTAAATATCCTTTATACAAATGCAAAGTGAGTGAACAGAAAATAATTCTAAATCAAATCCATATTTGGTGTGACAACCATTTGCCTTCAAAACAACACTTATTCTTCTAGTAACACCTGCGCTCATTTTTGTAAGGAACTCTGCAGGTAGGTTGTTCCAAACATATTGAAGAACTAACCACAGTTCTTCTCGGGCATAGTCTTTTATGTTATGTTCAGTGCTCTGGACTCCTTCTGCTGTAGGTTTGGGTTCGCTGTCATCCTGCAGAATAGATTTGGAGCCGATCCGATGTCTCCCTGATGGTATTACATAAAGAATAAGTGTCTGCGTGTACTTCTCAGCATTGAGGAGACCATTAACTCTGACTAAATCCCCAACTCCATTTTCAAAATGCAGCCCTACAGTTGCAAGGAACCTCCACCATGCTTTTTGGCACCAGGGGAATCGTCACCAGCACCTCTCTCTCTGAGCCGGTGTCTGTTACCTCTGAGCCAGCCATTAAAAATTCTATAGCTCTCGTCGGTACTAAACTTGCTAAGCATGGTGTATAAATAAAATGTAACTAAATAACATTGTTTATATTTTACATTTTTAAAACTATTTTTGCTTTACACCTCTAACTAGTTAGTTCAGCTATTCCTTCTCAAAAAACTGTAGTTGTAGCCGAACAATGTCCACGAAACCGATCTCTTAAAGTGAGATCACTCTTTCCGACATAATATATAGTTTGCAAGGGCAATTGATTAAATCCAATAAGCTGTGCTACAGGTGATGCGATAGCCTGATTAACCTTTTTACCAGAGTAGGTCAAATATCAGTACACTTATAGCATCCTTCTTTGTTTTGTTTTTTTGTTTTGTTTTTAATATAACCAGCATGAGAATAAAATTTGCATTTTTAAAACAAACTGCTTGTATGCAATAAGTGGACGTAAATGGAAAATGGTGGACAAACTTGGATCATGAGATAAAAAAAATCCCATCTTTGATAATTCATCTGGATATGTTGGGACTATGAAAAGTATAAGGGAGTGTAATCCATTTGGGTTTTTCTTGATGAAAAGATTGCCCAAGCACGAGACAATGATTTTAAAACTATTTCACGGTGGTATTTTCTAGCGGCATATGCCATCTTTATTTAATCCAATTGCCTGTTGGCAATGACAGTCTGAATTATTTCAAAGGACCCTCAAAAATTTGGAAACTGGAAGGGATCTTTTCACTGGCAGATGAAAACTGTTGAAGAGAATCAATGTGTTTTTGTCTGAAGATTTCTTATGTTACCTATAACCGCAGTGATCATGTGTTATGTTAATTTCACCATCCATAAAACTGATACAATGTGTTTCATATGTCAAAGTTAGTTTAACCCCTTGAGGACCAAACTTCTAGAATAAAAGGGAATCATGACATGGGTTAATTGGAGTCTCCAAAGGAGTAATAGTTTCAATTATCTGTATCAATTATCCCTTGCGGCATTGTCCCAAATCATGACAATATCATTGACAAATCTTGCATAAATTAAGATTATGACCAAATGTTTCCAAAATCTACTGTGATAAAAAAAAAAATAGCATAAAGCAATTTGCATATGTGGCCACTACTGGCGACCCCATAGCAGTCTCGGCAATTTAAAAATAAAACTGTTTCTCAAACCTAAAGTAATTGCAAGTGAGTAATAAATACATGTCCAGAAGAAATTCAAATCCTACATACACATTTTTTACATCTGCTGTAAAACTATTTGTAATCTTATCCAGAAAATCTGCAGTGTCCTTTCAACAAAAAGGTAAAGTATTCACACTGGTTTTGCAATGTTGATCCACAAACTTGTCTGTGGGCTCTAGAATACTACCACAAGCAGACACAATAGGTCTGTCAGTAGAATGTTGTGAATCCTCATGAATCTTAGGTGACCTATACAAAATGGGTACCCTGGGATGTTTTTCAAAAAGAAATTGTAAATACTGCTCATCAAAAATTCTAGTTGATAGATGGCCCTCTTGCAATAAGAGCGTGAGCTTTGTGCCACATTAGAAGTAGGGTCAAAATTAATTCTCTTCTATATGTTTTGATCTGCTAAATGGGAAAGAATCTCCTCTCTATGATCAGTTTTGAAGGACACTAGCTCCACCTTTATCAGCTTGGTGGTTCACAAAAGTGTTGTCCTGTGCCAAATGCGTTTTTGACTAGACAAATTATGTACTTTATCCCTAGAATTCACGGCAGAGTTTATCATCTTGTACCAGTTATTCATTGATCACGATTGGAGTTTTATAGTTAATGTTCTGCACATGTGGTTTTGCTTTGAGATCAATTTTTTTTTCTTCTTTTTTTGTACTCTTGTTTAAAAGGTCAACATGTTGCTTTAACTGTTTTGTGAAAAAGTATGGTCTGTTGACCGCATAAATGCCAAGTTATTTGAGATCTGATGTCATCAAAGTAGAACCTGACTTTGGATGTACTGACATTTCTCCGACTTTGCTGTCCCCTAAAAAGTTAGCTATGATCTACATCTGTAAATCTAACGATCCCTTTTTATGTAAATGCACAGCACACTGAAGAATCTGCTTAAATTGCTACACTGTGATGCAATTCAATTTTTCTAGTTCAGTTTACCTTGGTGTGTAAATGATTATTTTTTTTAACAGGCATGTTCCAAACTCTCTGTGGAAAGATTATGAAATGGGATCAGAGACCAAGAGAGAGAAAGCAGTGAAGTCTGACCCCTACTGGAGTAGAAGACTCATCCTGAGTCATGGCACAGGAAGGGCCTAGTGTTACCGGGATAGCAATGAGTGTCTTCTAAATGACTTGGCACCCTGCGGAAAAAGTCATGTTTATAAAGTTTGTAGGAGTTACCTTTTATTGCTCAACAAAGCCCAGCATTTTATAGAAACTGGCTAATGAGAGCGACCGAGGAGAAATGGGAGAAACACAACCCTAGCTGTATTTGGACTGGTTAACTTGAATACAGCTTATGTTGCAGTTTTAGATTGATAATTTATTTAATTTATGACTAATCATGCACCCAGATGGTTCTAAACTCCTCTCCCTCGATCCTTGGCTATCACTGCTATAGAATGTGCTTTCAGCTTCCCCCATCGATTAGAATAATTTTACATATATCTGTCATGAGATGAAGTTTGCACGGTGCACACCCAGAGTTTTAGCATTAGATGTGGCAGATGGTCAATAACATTCAGTGTTCAGTTACTGCACCGTCATATACTGTATTTGCCTTGTTTTCGTAATTAAGTATTCAAATCCTTGTTGCACTGATTTATACAGCTAAACTTTAAAGGACCACTCTAGGCACCCAGACCACTTCAGCTTAATGAAGTAGTCTGGGTGCCAGGTCCCTCTAGGGTTAACCCTTTTTTTTCCCCCATAAACTGCTATGTTTATGTTAGGGTTAATGCAGCCTCCAAATCCTCTAGTGGCTGTCTCATTGACAGCCCCTAGAGGCGTTTGCGTGCTTCTCACTGTGAAAATCACAGTGAGAAGACGACAGCGTCCATAGGAAAGCATTGTAAATGCTTTCCTATGAGACCGGCTGAATGCGCGTGCAGCTCTTGCTGCGCATGTGCATTCAGCCGAAGAGGAGGATCGGAGGTGGAGAGGAGGAGGAGAGCTCGGCGTTTGAATAAAGGTAAGTTTAACCCATTTCCTCGCCATCCAGCCCGGCGGGAGGGGGTCCCTGAGGGTGGGGGCACCCTCAGTGCACTATAGTGCCAGGAAAACGAGTATGTTTTCCTGGCACTATAGTGGTCCTTTAAGTCCTAGTCCGTGACCAGGTACTACACAAATGATCCTAATGGCTTATACCTTTCCTCTGTATAATGCAGATATCGGTGAGCAACAAAAGGCAAAATTATCCAAATTCCAGAACTAGGACCTGTATATTTGTAACTTCTCTAAATGTACACTTCGATTTAAACTATTAGATTATGGGATTATTAAAGCGTACAAGCTGCCGTCTTCCTGCGAACTCAGCTTATTTTGGTTCCATTTTAGCGATAGTGTGGTAAATCCCCAAATACATAGTTTCCTAAAACATTCTGCGTTCACAATTCTTTACTTATTGCCATTAATGTGTTTACTCTGGAGACTGGGGACTTTGGAGAATTAGAAAACTGCAAATTGGAGGCAAAAACAGTTGATATGGAAGAGTTCTCTCTCTGGTGGTCTGTATTGCTTTGAACATATTACAATGGAAGGTCGGAGAGGTCTATTATTTTTAATTGTGTTTCTTTATTATAGCCAATAGGTCACCTTGCCCCCCTTTTTAATGTTTCTGTAGATGATTCACAATTACATGGAACACTTGGAGCGAACAAAACTCCAGCAGATTATTGGAGGGGACCAGCTGGAATCTACCATGCACAGTAAAATTAGGTAAGAACTGTTTTGCTTAACATAAATTGGGTGGGAGGGGGCACACCCACCCCTACAACGTTTGTTAAACAGAGAGAATGTATCCATTGTGTGTTTAAATCCTAGAACAATTACTCGGCTGATGCAGAGAAGTTTGCTGAATGTTTGGAATTTAGTAGGAGAACAGAGATGAAATTCGCTGAAACTAAAACTTTAGCTACTTAAGATTTTTTTTTAATTTTTTGTGTATTTTTAATAGTATGTGTTCGTGTTTTTAAATATTAACCTTGTTAATGTTTTTTGGTGTGTGTGTTGTTTTTTTTTTTTTGTAAATTATTTTGTGAAATGAATTAAAAAAAATAAAATATTTAGGTGGAAGTTTGAAATAAAATGTAAACTATAAAACAATGTTGCTTTTCGAGCATTCAGTCTGTATAGGTTTGTTTTTTGAACTGCTCAAGTCACAGAATAGTTAATGGAAGCGTATTGGATGCCGCCTGGGAGAGAGCAGCCTGCCCCTGATTTATTTATTTATCTCTGAAAGAGCGAGCTAGAGGGAGAGAGAGCAGTCAGGGGGATGATGTCATCGGTCTTTGGCTGCTGCAGGATCGGGAAGAACTGCAGCTAATGGCATTGTTTTTGTGGCAGCAGCTGAATGAAAGGCTCTCGGCAGACCCAAGATACACCCTTATTAGCCGTGTAGCTTTCTCGATACCGGCGTGCCACCATGCCATCTCAGCGCCATGAGTCCCAGATGCATGCTTTTGTTTGTGTTTGGCTTTGTTGGCGGGGCGGTGGTCATTAATTCGGCGATTTTAGTGTCCCTCTCCGTTCTGTTACTTGTGCATTTCTCGTTCTCCAACGGCTTGCCGGCATTAACGCAGAAGCTCCCGAGGATACTCAGGTACGAAGGCCTTGCATGTCTGCTTTTCTTTAACCCTACGTGTGCAGTAATGGCTGGCGATGTATTAGTCATCCCTACGTCAGAGAAGGGATTTTCTCTTTCATTTCTGATTGTGCGATTTTTGCCATCACCTGTCTTAATATTTTTATAGGATAACTAAGTCTGCACTTTGGAACGGTGTATTTACTGCTTAGAATGTTCCAAAAATACAGAATTTTTAATACTGCGTTAAGTGGTTTGATGTATCAGATCTAACTTGGCCTGTTCCATAATAATAACTCTTATTCTCTAGACTGTGTGTATCCCTCTTTGACTTGAAAAGAACAAGCTACTGATAGAAGTATAGTGCATTATTATTATTTTAAGTATAAACACTGAATGAGGCTTTACTAGATATATTGTCAAGCGAATAACTATCTTTCTTTTCATCAACCTTTATATTAAGTATGTTTTAAAGTAATACATAATTTAATAAACTTATTCATAATTGCACCAGTGCCCTCTTAATCCTGACCTGTGACTTTATTTCCTTTTTAATGTGTATCAGGAAAGAGATTTGATTTATCTTGGTTTATTAACTATCACTGTGATGAATGTGAGTTGCCAGAGACTACAGCTACAATTTAATAATCTTCTACGGAGTTGATTAAGGTGATTTTTCCTTAACAAACTCTGCTCGTAAAGCAGTCACCTTGCTGTAGCTTGTGGCATGCTCTGTGTGATGAAAAAATGACTTTCTAATTAGTGCCTTCATTTTAAATCCATGGGGAGACATTGTTTTTGTTCTACCCGAGCTCTGTGCTATTTATCACTGTCTGTAGATAGGCAGAAAGCATTTGTGCTCTAACCTACAGTCTCCCTCCCGTGCATCTGTGTTACTGTATAATATACACGCTCCCATGGGATGCGTCAACCGGAATAGTGTGTATTGGCTTAATGAAGTACTCGAGAATTAGAGCAATCTGATCTAATGAAGGGTAAAGAGGGCACATTTCTGCAGTGTCAGCTGCGTAGTACTAGCAAGGACATTTCAAATACGCAGCTCTTATTAATGGGGTTTCACAACAAATATCTTCATTCTTCTGAGCCTTGGGATTCCTTGTTTACTGTGCGTCGTAGCTTGTCCTCCTTTATACATGGCACTGAGTAACATCCAGAGCTATGTACTCTGTCATATTAAATTTTTAGCTTTAACTGGGGAGTGCAGCTTTGAAATTATTTAAAAAATAAATAAAAAGTTGGTTAATGAGTGTAATGTGCATTAAATATTAACCCCTCTGTACATTTTTAATTTATTTCCCTTAATGTAGCAAGTACTGCATTTTATACATTGTCTGTGTTGTAGCTTAACAGTGCTTGTACTCACTAGCCATGAACAGGAGGAGAGGAATTCACGAATACAGAGTCATTATTGCCTTATTGATTGATACATTATCCTTGATGGCTGTTTTGACATGTTGAGTGTATGTGCTCACCGCAAACTTGAGCTAAAATAGAGGCACGTGATTGGATCAAATTGCTTTTCATTTTTAATCAAATCAGAAAAGCTTGTAATTCCCCTGAATTACAAATTCTTAGACTTTGCCTCCACTAGGACTCCTGACTGGCACCATTATGTTACCATATCGCTGATGGCTCCTTTTGTGTGTGTCTGTCAAGTGTTTAGTACTGTACTGTGTCAGGCGGTGACTCTGCAAAGTTTGATAGAAGGGCAAGAGGGAAAAGCTGCTTGCTGGGAGATACCATGACTGCCGTCATCCCATGTAGTAGCTTATAGGGTCGGTGAAGGTTTACGTTAGAGGCATAGAGACAGAAAAACATCTATAAGACTGTAATTGGCTTCCTGTATTGAAAGGGACAGTCAAAGCTCCATTGCAACCTGCATAGGTTATGATATGTCACGAACCCTTGACACAAAGTAGCTTACAACTGCAGGAATTAGCTAATATTTCTGCAGGGATAAGACTGTGTATTTAGTGACTGAAATTAAAGGAGGAATTTGACTTCCAGCTTGGCAATGGTCCATTTAAGTTGTGTGGGTGTGTGGTGTGTGCGCATGTTCGTCGTCTTCACTCCTAGCTCTCAGAGGGCAGCCCACTTCACAAAACTGTGAATGTGGCATGCAAATACTGTTAACAGCAGAGGTATGACTGAAGTCTACTTATTGACTGATTTCGAGATGAGTGGAAATGTGGCTGGGTGCTGGACTTCATAACCCAAGAAACCCTTGCAGGACAAAAAAATAAAACAGCACAGATGTTAGTGGTTGGTGGATCCTCTTCTGGATTTAAGAGGTCTGCCATCTTCTGATTTTAGTGTATTGATCAAAGCTGCAGGAACTTTTGAGATATGGATTTATGCATTGCTTACGTTCTTTCTGTTCTGTTGCCTTGTTAGCTGTCAATTCATCCCCCCAAACTACGTCTTCTATAATTATCTGCTTTTCTCTGGCAATCCAATAGGGTGAGCTGCAGTCAAACTACTGCAGGTTGAGTTGACACCCCTGTCCTAAACTCCCATGTGCTTAGTCTGACTCCTTAAGCAGACAGGACATATTAATCTTCCTTAAAATTGGTTAAATAATGGGAAGGATTAATCCTGGACATCCATTGAAAGTGAATTTCAAACATAAAGTGGCACTGTCATTCCCCCCACCCCAAAATCATAAGATATTCTAAGACAGAGCTACCTCCGTCAAGAAGCTTGGACTTGTCACCAGTGGGGTACCTCAGGGATCTGTACTTGGACCCATTCTCTTTAATATTTTTATTAGTGATATTGCAGAAGGTCTTGATGGTAAGGTATGTCTTTTTGCTGATGATACTAAGATATGTAACAGGGTTGATGTTCCAGGAGGGATAAGCCAAATGACAAATGATTTAGGTAAACTAGAAAAATGGTCAGAATTGTGGCAACTGACATTTAATGTGGATAAGTGCAAGATAATGCATCTTGGACGTAAAAACCCAAGGGCAGAGTACAGAATATTTGATAGTCCTAACCTCAACATATGAGGAAAGGGATTTAGGGGTGATTATTTTTGATGACTTAAAGGTAGGCAGGCAATGTAATAGAGCAGCACGAAATGCTAGCAGAATGCTTGGTTGTATAGGGAGAGGTATTAGCAGTAGAAAGAGGGAAGTGCTTATGCCATTGTACAGAACACTGGTGAGATCTCACTTGGAGTATTGTACACAGTACTGGAGACCGTATCTTCAGAAGGATATTGATACCTTAGAGAGGGTTCAGAGAAGGGCTACTAAACTGGTTCATGGATTGCGGGATAAAACTTACCAGGAAAGGTTAAAGGATCTTAACATGTATAGCTTGGAGGAAAGACGAGACAGGGGGGATATGATAGAAACATTTAAATATATAAAGGGAATCAACACAGTAAAGGAGGAGACTGTATTTAAAAGAAGAAAAACTACCACAACAAGAGGACATAGTCTTAAATTAGAGGGACAAAGGTTTAAAAATAATATCAGGAAGTATTACTTTACTGAGAGGGTAGTGGATGCATGGAATAGCCTTCCAGCTGAAGTGGTAGAGGTTAACACAGTGAAAGGAGTTTAAGCATGCGTGGGATAGGCATAAGGCTATCCTAACTATTAGATAAGGCCAGGGACTAATGAAAGTATTTAGAAAATTGGGCAGACTAGATGGGCAGAATGGTTCTTATCTGCCGTCACATTCTATGTTTCTATAAGAAGTGTCTGTCCCCCAGCAGTCACCAGTGACAGCTGCAGGTTATTAATCGCTGTCTATGGACGGTTTCGCGGGATCCTCCATAGATCTTGTGGCTGTACTCTTGTGCATGTGCAAGACTACAGCAGGGACATCGGCTCCTGCAATCTCAAGCAGGAGCAGAAGAGGACTGGCCGGAAAAAGATGGAGGTTGCTGAGAGGGGGAGGTTCAAATAAGTAGAACCCAGAATGCAAATTATACAAAGTCCTCAGGCGGTGACAGTGCCACTTTAAGACTAAAGTAGCCAAACCAGAATAGCTTTCTAGTTTGTCTATTTTGGCCTTAAACGTGAAATAAACTTTGCGTTCTCACTTTATGAAATAATGCTGTAAGTCATCTCACAGGGGACAGTCATAGAAAGGCATATGAATGTTTGATAATAAATTACAATTCGACAAAGTATAATGAAGAACTTGCCATTCTCTGGAAACCTGTATTGAAGTGCGACTTTGTTTTTATATTTCCACAGTTTAGGTTTGCTCCTAAACAATGTATTCCTTTTTATTTCCTCCTAAACAGAAAAGACCGCCCCATCTCTCTCGGAATCTTTCCTTTGGCTTCTGGAGATTCTTTGGTTTTACCAGATGCACGTGGCGGTGAAACACCAGGAAATGGACCGTGGAAACTTCAAGAACAAAACCACGCACGCTGTAATACCAGTTTGAAGGTAAAGATTCGCCCCAGCAGAGGGTTCGATACATCAGGCCTAGCCTCAGTGATTAAGGGGGACACGTCAGAATTAGAATTGGTGAGCACCAGGAGTTATATCAGATAGAATGTTTTTATAATTTTGTGAAGTTCCCATCCAGGAATTTATTTTGAGGACATGTACACAGGTTTTAATTCAATGTTATCTCATCACACTTGTTTTTGAATCTTGTTTTAGGATGAATTTTTAAAGATTAGCCAGTCAGGTCCCAAGACCGGCAGTACCGATTCAGACAACATGGTCCATGCCGCCTCCAAGGCACAGAAAGATGATGTCATAAGGCAAGCCAATGCAAAGAATAACAATCTGCCAAATAACAAGAACAGCGATGATGTGCGTGTCACTCAGGAGACCACTGCACCATCGATGGGTAAGCAGTCTTAAAGGGTCCGTATGCATTACAAAGTCAGCCTTTATTCACCACCACAGTTCAGTCTCTTTGTGGTAATAGCTAAGGGCTTGGTTCGAACTACTACCACTAGTGCTGAGATTCTCTCTGTTACATTGTTGGGATGATACTAAAGTTTCCATGTGATGATAATTTGTGAGAACGCAATGTAGCACACTGTACATTTTGGGTGAAACAAATCCTGTTCTGTTTGACTTTATTTTCTGTCAGGTTTCTGGTTATGCTTCCTATAGTAACTGTGCTAAAGCTTATGCCTCCCATGGTCTCTGAATTTACTTAGTAGCCAATTTGGTCAGAAGAGCCGATCAAAAATGTATGTGCATTCGCGATGATGTGATACCATGGTAACTATCATAGAAACTGTCCTCGTTGCAGGATCCGCAATGTATTCTCAATGAAAACCTTTTTGGTTTTGGCCCAAAACATCCTTGGTTTGACTCCTTTTTTTTTTTTTTAATAGTTTTTTTTGTACATCCTGTATTTCACTTTATATGCAACTTTTTTATGCATTCGTATTTGTCACAGCAACTGGTCCCTCTGTGTATCATGGTAATTGTCTGTTAAATAATTGATGTTGATTTTTCCACATGGATAGGAAATGGCAATTGAAAATGATGTACTCTTGTAAATTCTGATCCCAGAACAGAGTTTTTTGGAGAATACATCCATCAATAAAATAAGAAAACTACACCATACAAATTCTAAATAGTATTCTTTATTTTGTGAGATTACTGATAGGAAAAAAAAATGCAATTTCCAGGGAATATAAGCAAGGACTGTTTTGGTCTCCGTGGATATTTTGTTCTCGCATGGCTAGTGATGCAGCATCAGACACGGCCACTTTTACTACATATAACATTACTGCTGAAATAACTCCACTACCACAAAGTCAGAATGCACACCCGAAAACCACGGATGACTGAGGAGAATGTCTAGTGCTCTGGAACATCAGGGAGTTTTGTTTTATACTACGTTTAAGTCGTTGTTTCTGCACTGGTATTCTGTTCATATGGACTCAAACTTCGCATCTGAACAAAGAGATGCCAAAATGATTATTTTTATTTTTTTATTTTTTAATTAAATACAAATCATTAAGGTACTGCATAGCCCTTGTCGTGAACCTGCACAGTTTGTTTAGGACCTGTGAATAATGCAGATTTTCAATCTTTCTTTTTATAGTTATGAACCAATACACTTTTATATTATTATTTTTATACGTTGTGCTTACTTGGATGCATCTTTAAACACTATTAATCTATTCTACATAATGTGTTTTTTCTATCTTGTTTTGTGCTTTTATTGTTCGATCCATGGTTAGGCCTCTAGATGGGGTTTTGTGTTGCACTAAGCCTGCATTACAGCCTTTAACTGTGTTGCAGGTTGTTTTTGTAAGACTTTCTTTTCTTATTGGTAGGGATTCTCTAACCTATACAAGTCAGATCTTTGTCACAGCATTTTTCTTAAATCCCAGATAACTATATAGTTGTCCTTAATGTCTTTACCAAATAATTTATTAATGCTAGGCTCCCTTTTAATGGATTGATTTTTAAAGAACATATTGATTACGTCTGCGCTGAAGGTAACGTTGCCAGATTTCAATGTGAAAGAAAGGACTCTGCAGGATGTTAAGTGCAAACAAAGCATTTTGTTGTGGGGTAATGGCTGATAGAACCGCAATACATTAAAGTAGCGTTGGTAGACTGATGGCCTCGGGCTTTGTAAATGTGATGGTGGTCAATACAAGTCTCATTTCTGTTCTGTAGAGTTTTGTTGGTTTTTTGTTGTTGTAAATATTGAAACCATATGGACCTGTAGTAATGGGGTGATCTTCCTGTGCTCTCCTGTATAGTACAGCACCCTATTAATATATAGTACTCGAGGTAATGGTTATTGGTTCTCTGTGTGACACAGCGTTTTATTAATATATATTACTCGAGGTAATGGTTTTTGGCTCTCTGTGTGATACAGCGTTTTATTAATATATAGTACTCGAGGTAATGGTTTTTGGCTCTCTGTGTGACACAGCGTTTTATTAATATATAGTACTTGAGGTAATGGTTTTTGGCTCTCTGTGTGATACAGCGTTTTATTAATATATAGTACTCGAGGTAACGTTTTTTGGTTCTTTGTCTGACACAGCGTTTTATTAATATATATAGTACTCGAGGTAACGTTTTTTGGTTCTCTGTGTGACACAGCGTTTTATTAATATATAGTACTCGAGGTAATGGTTTTTGGCTCTCTGTGTGACACAGCGTTTTATTAATATATAGGTAATGTTTTCTTGGTGGGTGTGTGTTTTTATATGGTTTTGTTACACAAGTAATGTATCATTTTTCTTGAGATGGTGCAGATAATCTTCTCTGGAGTTTCCTGCCTAACTGAAATGTAATTTAATTGGAACCGGTTTAATTTGTATCAGTCAAATGTTAGTTTTTGATGTGTGTGTGCTTTTTTTTCCCCCCCAGTTGTTTCTTTCTTAAATCCATTACTTTGACATCATAAAAATAAAGTGACAATATAGGCACCAAAACTGTAGCTTAATGAAGCCATTTTGGTGTATAGATCATGTTTATACAGCCCTGGTCACGTGCCCCTGCATGTGACTTGCACAGCCGTCCTAAACACCTCCTGTAAAGAGAGATCTAATGTTTAAACTTCCTTTACTGCACATTCTGTTTAATTTAGAATTTCTTCTCTCCATATCTGACAATAATCTGCTACAGCCTGCAGGAGCCTCCTGTCTGTGATTAAAGTTTTAATTTACAGAGCAGAAGATAAAAAGAATAAAACTCCTACAGCGAAATATCTGATTAAAATGGAACCATTTTTTTTTTCATGCAGCTATCGGTGTGATCCAGTCTTGGGAGGTTTGGCCAGGGCTGTATAAACACAAAGAAAAGCTTTGTTTGTTTGTTTGTTTTTGTGTTTATCTCCTAAATGGCAGAGAATTGAGCAGGGACTGCAGGGAAATGATCAATACACCAAAACTGCTTCGTTAAACTGAAGTTGTTTTGGTGACTGTGGTATCCTTTTAATGGCATTTTGCTTATGCATTTATTATTTCAGGTCTATGATCCCAATCAATATTTAGCAGTTATCGGAAACATTTTACAATTGCAATTTTAAAGCTAAACATTTAAATGAACACTGCAATGTAATCAATTAACTATCAGAGCTCAAAATTTCCTCTAGCCATTGGCTAATGAAAATTCCACCATACGAGTAGAAATTCAGTGTGTTCGTGATTCTCCTGGCTTTTATGCTTATACTATCCCTTTAAAAAGTCACTGGTCACCTGGAATAAAATGTAACTTTTTAATGCATTTCTTCAATTCACAACTTTGGGTTTGTTTTTATATATATATATTCATATAAACCGTGGTCGTTTTCCCCTATAAAGCAGCTTAATATTAGATTTTTTTATTTTTTATTTTTTTTTTATAGGTACCAATAACAATGAGGAGAAATCTGAGGTTCAGTCAATCATTGAATCAACACCAGAGCTGGACATGGATAAGGAACCCAAAGGATTTCAGTTTTCCAGGTACAAATTTTATTTGCTGAAACTTTGGGCCTTAAAGGGACACTATAGTCACCAGAACGACTACAGCTTAATGTAGTTGTTTTGGTGAGTATAGTCAGTCCCTGCAGATTTTTTTTTATTTTGTGTTTACATTAAAGACTGGGGACTCCTCCAGTGGACCCTCCTCCGGTGGCTGGAGGTGCTTCTTGGGGCAGTGGTAACACTATAGGGTCAGGAATACATGTTTGTGTTCCTCACCATATAGTGTTCCTTTAATTACTAAAACCACACATTGGTGCTAGGCTATTTTTGTGCACAGGAGGTCTGTCCGCATTATGGGCAAATGGTATAGGTTCTCTCTCCAATGACACTTGTGAGCAAAATGTATTTCAGACATTTTTAATTGTTCTCTACTCTGTTTTGGCTTAACCTCTACAACTGGCCCTCTGCATTCTGGTGTCAATGACTGAAATACTGAGCATATGCGTCTTAGAAGGAGCACAAGTGTTCTAATCCCAGTCGAGTCCTCTTAATAGGTTTTCTGATACCTGCCAACCCAGGACTCTTGTTTTAACTGTATACCTGATATTGTCAGCCAGTAAACACTGCTGGCCCCAGAACCAGGGCATCTTTGTTTGCCAGTTATATATACCTTACAACTCACATTTTTGTAGAAACTGAAGTGAAGTTAGAAAACCACTCAAAAGTTTTCCTCGTCCTCCGAATTATGCATGTATTTATTTTTCACCATTTTTTTCCCTCCACGTTCAGTACTCCAACAAAGGGCATTGAAAACAAAGGGTTTGATCGGAACACGGAATCCTTGTTTGAGGAGCTTTCATCAGCTGGAACAGACCTAATCGGGGACGTTGATGAAGGTGCAGATCTGTTAGGTAAGCTTTTTTATGTTGCTGGATTGGCTTCTGCTTTGTTAACCACAAAAAAAGAACCTATAAATTCTGCAGTAGATTTAAATGTAGATTAGAGCATAATGCGAAACTCTTAGTTCTTATAATCTGCTCCATGCACGAACAACTGAGAAATATGTATGAGGAAAGACCAGAAACCGAGATTCAGGGGCTTCTAATGGACACAGTAAGGGGAAATAAATAAAAGGTGATAGAACAATGCACATTTATTATGGGATGGAACGGCCTGTAAGGCTAGTGTTAACTGTAATATTTATATATAATAAAATATATCTCTTACAGGCATCTTAACAAGAAGCAATCTCTTCAATGTTTGCTGTTCCAAGCCATAAAACATTAACGGTTTCTCAGTTTTGTTTTTTTTCGAATAATCTTGTTTATTTCAGGAATGGGGCGAGAAGTTGAAAATCTTATCCTAGAGAACTCCCAGCTTCTAGAAACAAAGTACGTGGCTTTATGTATCTCATGTATGCTACAATTATTATATATATTTTTTTTTTTCTCACCATCTGATCCTTTCTTCCTACATTTTTATGCTCCGATTTCCATCAGTCCAGTAGTAACATTGCACAGTAGCTTGCTTTAAATCCGTTCTTGTTTTCCTTGATCTTTTTTGACCCAAACCCCTGTTTTCACTTCTTAATAAAGAGGCCTCTATAGTAGTTTGGGATGTTTGTTGAGATTTTGGTTTCATATACATTTTATTTTTCGGGGGGTCGGAGAGGGTTTATTCCTATTTGTGTACATTTTTAGTACATTTATTTTACTTACATTTTAAACTACTTTATTTTTCCCCATTGCCTAGAAATGCTCTAAATGTCGTGAAAAATGATTTGATCGCAAAGTTGGATGAGCTTGTGTGTGAGAAGCAGGTCTTGGAGGAAGAACTGTTGGTCATAAAGCAGTCGAAAAGCAAGCTTGAGGAAAGGAACAAGGAACTGGAGGAAGAGCTGAAGAAGTGGGTATTTCAGCTCTGCAGACAATCCAGGGCTTTATTTTGCATAATTATCGGCCAGCCTTTAGCCATCCACAATATATTTATTGAAGACTTACATTCTGTTTCTCCCGGACACTGGCAACCATTTCCCCCACCCCACACCCCTCTATTATTAAGATTAGCACCAGATAAGCCAGGAACACATATTACTATGTTATTAGATTATTAACCCCTTCAGTACCAAATAAAGGTATTCTTCCCCCCCCCCCCACACACACACACACATTTTCTTATATCTTGATCCTGTTTACACTTTGAAACCGTACAGTACAAAAGGGTTTAGTTGCATATGTGCTTTAACTCTTTCTAGGGCAAGGGCAGAGACTGAAGAAGCGCGGCAACGGGGCAAAGACGAGGAAGATGTGAGTCTACTAAAATGACGTTTTGTAATGCCTGTAATCTAATAAGGCCAGGGCTGTGTTATTTGAT